AGCGTCCAGACTATCGCGCTGAGCGGACAAACAGCTGATCAGCTGTTTGTCGGCTCAGCACGGCAGCCATGTAAATGTAAATGAAGCCGCGATCATTTAAATCGCGGCTTCATTTGCCTTTGCCAAAACAACAAATCTACATGGCTCCGTCGATGGAGCCATGTAGTTTAAACGTACCCTCAGGTGCTACAGGGCTACTTTAACATGGCTGCCCCTCTGAGACTTTCTGAAAGGTTATTCCACCTTTGTACTGATCTCACAGTTAAACAGTTTCCGCTGATGTTCTGCCCACGATAGCCCTTACTTAGTTCACTAAACTTATTCAGGACACAGAAACTGCCACATTGGATCGGGCCAGTTGTCCGGCAAGTGCAGAATCCTGCCTTGTCGGACCAGCTACTTCTGCGCAAGGAGCAAACCTTGAAAATGGGCACATGTCCATGGATCCATCTGAAGGGGCACATTTCTACCAAGCTCCTGTCAATCAGTGGTTGGCTTGTTCCGGGAAGGGGATCTAAACCCTCATGCTTGTGGGCCTGATCCAAAGCACATTGAAATCAATGGGAGCCTTTCCACTGACTTGAGTGAGCCTTCTGGGCCTTAGATTAGTAGCCTACCTCTAATACATTTGATTGGGAGGAAACATTTCCTATGGACACATCATTGCATATCTGCGTACTGTAGAGTTTCTTCTATGAAGTATCTGGTGCTGGCCCTGAGACAGGATACTGAACTACAGGACTTGATCCAATGGCTGATTTTTTTCATTCTTGTGTTCCTAAGCATGAATGTTTGGGCTCCTCATTTTGTATTCCGTTTTGTATGACTTGTAAAGTCTCAGTCTCCATATAAATGTCTACTCGGTTTTCCAATTTGACTCAGTTCTTATCTCCAGTAATATCTTCTGGCACTGAGCTCTCCAGGTTAACATGTGTTTAGTAATACAAAGTATTTCCTTTTCCCCCCTTTAAATGTGCTGTCTTTCGTTTTCATTGCCTGTCTCCTTTTTGATTTTACTATGAGAGAGGTCAAATGTCATTTCTTATTCATTTCATATTGCTCTTGATTATACTTCATGGATGAACCTCAACATTTCGGTTGATTACACCCTTCAAACAGTTCTCAAGGATCCCCACCCGCTCCTTAGTCGCAAATACGCTCATAGTCTCCAAAATACAAGGTCCGCTCTTACAAGGACAGTACAGCAGAATCATGAGCATATTTTCCTCTTGATGGAGCACATCCAGCCAAGGACTTAACCTGAAAGAAGATAGATGGAGAATGAGCAATATCTCCTGTTCTTCTCAAATTATAAATCTCACGCGCCGAAAGGGAAGCCGTATGCCACAAGAGTTAGATGCCGTGATTACTGCAACAGATGTGTTTGCCCCGTTCCCTCCTCACTGCTCTGCTTGTTAATTAAATATCCCTTACTTTGAGAGCACATAACTAATGAGCTTTAGCAATCAGGTAGAAGTCCAGTTAATCTAATCCATGGCTGCTGCACATCATTAAATATATTGTAATAATTAGCAGGCATTAAACTAACTGCCATAATTCACATACATTGAACTTCTGTGTATAGTGAAGGGTTTTTAACAATGCAAATAGTCAGAGCAGGACTGGCAGCTGCTCCCCTTGCATGGGAGATGAGTCTGGGGTGGGGAGTGATGTTGTTTGGGTTCTGACTCTGTAGTGTTTGGTGCTGGCCCGAAATATTCTCTCTAATATTTTCTATCCATGTGCAGAATAAACATTCTTACACGCACAGAAGCATGTGTAGATGTGCACCACCAATAGAGACACATGCTGCCAGCTGTGGGCATTCTGCTAATCAGTTGGGTGGCCCCTAAATCTATTCTGGGCGGCTGCCCAAGCACTCAGCTTACAGGGAACTCCAGGGCCACTGATGGTACTAAACTCAAGGGACTGCTACTCTGACCCAGTGTAGAAATTCCTGTGCTTGGATGCTAGCATGGGTTGGGAGACGTGGAGACGTGGAGATCAGGGCTGTTCATGTTTGTACATAGCGCCCCCCTGTGGATAACTCAGGATCAGCATCTTTGGAGTCTGGATCTTGTCCCGATTTTTTTTTTTAAGAGGGATGAGTCAATCAGAGGAGAGCAATGGAGAGCAGTTCCAAAGGTGGGTAACAGGAGGAAAGGGGAAGCATTTCCACGGACACACACACAACTATTTCTCAGTGATACTTATCTGGCTTTCATCTCTGTAGTACCTGAGCATGCATATTGTTAGTGTATTCCTCCTCCAAATCCACCTCGGTGGTAGGGCAATGTAATGATTTCCATTCTACAGATGGGGAACTGAGTCACAGAAAGACTGTGACTCAAGGTGTCATAGGCTCTCAAGTCCCAAGCAAGGGCGCATCCTTGGGCTGACTTACCTCTCTCCTTGGAATGTGACTTTGTCGTTGCTGGAGCTGAGTGAATAATTCCTAGTGAGCAATTTGTTTAATGGATCTTCTCACCTTTTTGTTGGGGAAATGGCTGCAAACAAATCAGGAGTCTCCACTGTGCATTTTCTAGTCACTATTCAGTAGCAGGTCACACACGTTCTTTTCATTCGTGGCTCACTATTTGAAATCTGAAAGCCGAGCCCTGTTGTGATTGGCCACAGAGCAGCATATCTTCTTTCCGATTGGATAAGCGCAACTCTTAAGATCAGGTGTGTACATTTAGAACCTGGTCTTCTGCCTTTCAAGTGGATAGAAGGTTTGCATCAAATTCAGTGGACGTGAGATTAAATGCCTAAAACCCTAAGTCGGCCGAGCGGTGATCTTAAAATGTGCGACCTGAGGGAAATTAGCAAAACTCAGTTTCATCAGTGTTTGCAGGAGAATGTAAAAGGGACCCTACTGATGGAAACCTGTTTTGATATGTAAACGTTTACTGAGGGAAATTATTTTTGCGTTGCTTGCCCAGCTCTCTTTTTTTTTCTCTCAAAACACTCCCGTATGGTCTTTATAAGACACCTGCAAAGTGAAGCTTCCTTCACCTCCAACAATGCTCCCCACTCTATGGGTGTGTCTGGGGACTTGGGGGGAGAATGATGATCTAAGACAAAGCTACTCAACGTTGGAAGCCCCAGGGGCCACAATGATACTCACAGCACATACCGAGGGCTGCAACTGAAGTGTGGTTGCATATACATGCAAATAGATATGCAAATATATGCAAATAGCTTCTTTCACACTGCCGGGCATGAATACAAAGATTAAGGCAAGACCACACAACACACAGGCCCCATTTCAGTCAGTTCTGCTGATATTAATAAAATGCAATATTTACCCAATTTCCACCCATATGTCAGCACTTTTAATGAGCAGTGACAGTCCAGGAATGTAACTACTAAAACACATAGCAACAGAAGACCATTCTATTGACTACTTTTTTGTTTTGTCTCCCACGAGTGGGCTGAGTGTTGAGTAGCCCTGATCTAAGAGGATGAAATACATTTGACAAGGGGGCAGTAAGATATCAATATAAAAAATCAGACCTGTCTGGGTAGTAACGTGCCTTCCCCCGAAGCCATAGACCCCATCCACAGCCTCTCCCTGGCTAAGGAAAACCCATCTGGGTGAATGTCTGTTTTGCAGATCTTTGAAGAAGAGCACAGTGTTCTATTCCTGGATCAGGGTGGAGTCCTGGTGGCCATGAAACACACGTCTTTGCCTATCCGACATCTATGGTAATGCATGACTATGCTGATCCCATTTGTCATCAAGTCCTTCATGACAAGTTATGTGCTGCTGGCAGTTAAGCTGTGACTAATTTTTTTAGCTAAATGCCTGTATGTCAATTAAGAAATTTGCATGCATTCACTCTGATTGGTCTAAAGAAGTCCCGGTGATTTCACACTGAACAAGTGCAAGTCAGAGTTCTGGCGAGAGATCTTCGGCAATCGTAAATGAGTACTGTGCCATTAAAATCTGCATTGAGCTACCACAGGGGAAGGTTTGGCCCCTGGAGCCTGCACATTAAGCTGGAGTTTGGGGTAGGATCAGTCTCACAAAGAATCCTAAATATACTTTATTTGCAAAACGGGATGAAATTATCTACTAGGTGGAAGGCATCAGTAATGCCAGATCTTTCTTAGATAGCGCCAAGGCTTTCCAGCAATCAAAGCAGCACTGTCACTCATAGGCACAACTGTTGGGCTTCCCAGACTGAGCCTTGATTAGTGTTGCTATTGTTCTGTAGCTATCATGGTGCTCAGCGGTGTGTGTCACTGTTAGCAGCTCGCCAGCAGGCTACACCCCTGCTACACCCATTGGCCGAGGTGGGAATGGTGGGGGTGGAGCCTGCAGACGAGCGCTGCTAACACTGACACACACAGCTCCACCGGGGGGGTGGGGGGCAGAGCAGCTTCCCCTGTCCGCCAAGCAGAGCCACAACTGCAGCCCCGAAAGCCCCTTTCATAATCCGGCCCTGCTTAGACTGCAGAGACCAAGAGCAGAGAGCTGGTTGTTTGCTCTGGCAGGCGAAAAGAGTTCAGCGGGAGCGGGATGGGGACCTTTGAGCCAAACCAGAAGAAATCCTGGTGTGGGGCGTTTAAATCAAGATGATCAGCAGTGACTACGAGTCTTGGAAACCTCATCATTATGACGCTCCCCGTGACACTTAAATGGGCCTGGTTTGCATAGCTGGCAAGACAGCACCTACCTTTGTCTATGTCAAACAGCTCCATCTCCTGCATTTCTCTCCGAGAGCTGATGACACTTCTGCTTGCCCCACTAGGTTAAGTTTCGATGAAGGGCGATCCTGGAGCAAATACAGCTTCACGTCCATCCCGCTCTTCGTTGACGGCGTCTTGGGTGAGCCTGGCGAGGAGACTCTGATCATGACGTAAGTGAGCATGTAAAAGGAAAACAGCCAATGTCAAGTTCAGTTCTGATCAGAACTGCATGAGAGACACTCACTTGGTCCAGACCCTTGTGTAATCGCACCTCTGGCCAGGCTGTGAGTGGAGACTGGGTCTTGGGTATCTAGGCTAGAGGGGTGACAGGGGGTGAGAATATGTAATCAAGCTTGTGATGCCAAAAATCAGCAAAGTTTGCATGTAACATGACTACTTGTGGAGGGTCTCACAAGTTTCAGAAACAGGGTGAAATGGCTCATCGATGTAACTGTTTGACTCTTCAAGCTGTATGAGACTTTAAGTAGAGCTGCCCATCGCAGGGCAAGGTTGGAAAGAAAAATAAGGTGTCTTTTTAAAGCTGTGCCTTTGTATTTTTAACTGGGAGGCTGCAAAACGGTACGCATGAACAACACATTCTTGCCTGGGAAATGTGATTTAGTTGCAATACAGGACTCTGAGTTCTGCGTAGCACAGAAATTTGTACTCACCCTGGCGTCTTATGTGGGATCAAACTGGAAAACAACATGAGACAAATTCAGTTTCTGCTTGTGAAAATGAGTGAAGTTGGAATGGATGGACTTTGTGGTTTGGAAATTAGCTGGTGAGAATATAGGTGCACTGAAAAGATGCCGTTCAGATCCAGATCTGGTTCTGGATTTTGATTCATCCGGTGCCCACCTCTCAGATTTGTGGCAGAATAGTGTTTGAGTTCGGATTCAGTGATACTAAAATTCCGTGAGGTGTTGTTTTGGGACAACGTCAGCCTCAGAGGTCAAACCTTTTCCAGACCAACAGCCTGATGAGATTTCAGCCACGGCCAAACCAGAATTGAAAAACAGATTTCCCTTCTTGTGGATCAGCTCTAGGACCAAAATCCTATGGGCATGTTCATTCCAATAGGATGCCTCTCCCACACGTCATGCATCTGCACTCCATAAAATAGTCCACATCTTTCAGATGCCTGCAGGCTGGACTGGTCCCATCTCGAGTAGGCAGTTAGAGTATCGTTCTTCATTTTTGTACGTTGCCCCCCAAAGACCCTGGTCAGGGTCAGTCAGTAGCCTTGTGCTAAAATAAACTTAATAGTTTAGAAGTTACATTTGCAAAAGAGACTTAGATCTTTAGAAGCTGAAGTCACACAGACTTTCATTTTGACCTAGGGTTCTTTGTCACCTAAGGGCTTTTAAAAATGTGACCCAAAATCTCATTGAAGTGGGATGCCAGATCCTAATTCACTTATGGGATTTGCACAGAGCAGCTGGAAGGTGTAATTCCCAGTTTGCGTAGATGTGTCTATGCACTAGCTCTGCTTCAGTTAGTGCCTAAAAACAGCAGTGTGACCACAGCATCACAGGCGACAGCTTCAGCCAGCTGCCAAGGATGTACCAGAAGGGATTGTACAGGTTGAACCCTTCTAGTCCGGCACTCAGGTCTGGCAACATCCCTGGTCCAGTACGATTTTAGTGAGCCGGATGTCCATGTATCATGGGTGTGGCCAAGTTTCCTGCAGTCCCATGAAGTTTGTTTACAACCATCAGTCCTGGCTCTCAGTGTTCTGTGCTGTTATTTACCCCTAAATGTCTTCTAAGAGCCAAGTAAGCAGGGGAAGTGCTGGTAATGCAGCTAGACAATATTGATCTTCCATGATTCAGCAAATTCTCTGGTTTGGCACCAGTCTGGTCTGGAGGGTGCTGGACTAGAGAGGTTCAGCCTGTACTACGGCAGCTAGACAGAACCACTGCCCTGCTACTGGGAACAGTGCTATTTTTCAGTGCTAGCTCCACCTGAGCTAGCTCATATATGTCTCCCCGAACTGGGAAGTCACTCCTCCCAGTTAGATGGACCCACTGGTACTTCTGAACATTTGACCCAGGGTAGCCGGTAGCTCTGAGGCTGCACCTGGTGATGCCTCTGAATGTATAAACTCTTCTTTGTTGTGATCTGTAGAGTTTTTGGACACTTCAGTCATCGCTCGGAATGGCAGCTGGTGAAGGTGGACTACAGGTCCATTTTTGACAGGAGATGTGCAGAAGAGGACTACCGGCCATGGCAGCTCCATAGCCAGGTAAGAAGCATGGACACTGGGTATGAGCTGAGGTCTTGGTGATTCTGCAGATGAACACCAGTGAAGACCAATTTCTGTTCCTGCTAACTTGGTGGCTCAGAGTCTCTACGATGAAATTATGACTGGCTTGCATTGTTTTATTTCAGTTTATACTGGTTCGAGCTGCAATCTACCAGCGACTTCTGTCTCTAATTGATACAAGCCAGGGCTCAGAAAGATGCAGGCTTTCCAAGCTTTACTTGGACACCTGCAAGCATGGCTCAGATGTCATGGAAGCCCAGATACTCAAACACATGTAGACATTTAAACCTCCCCTGCACTTAGACTGTTGCCACATTCTTTCAAAAGTAAATCGAAAGAACGCAGCAGTTTTTTCGACCACGGAAAACCTCATTTTATGAGGAAGAATGTCTTTTTTTGAAAGTGCTCTTTCAAAAAAAGGCGCTATGTAATGCAAACTGTGCTTTTTTGAAAGAGAGCATCCAGACTGCTTGGGTGCTCTCTTTCGAAAAAGCGGCTAGCTTTTTTGAAAGTACTGGTTGTAGTCTAGACGCTTTTTTTTGAAAGAGGCTTTTTTGGAAGTATCTTTCGAAAAAGCTTCTTTCGAAAGAGGCTTGCATTCTAGCCATAGCCTTAAAGGCTAATAAAGTCAATGGAAGTTAGGCACCTAAATACCCTTGGGTATCTGGACCCTAGACTTTGTTTCCTAGTGCATGATACTTTCTGCATGGCATTTTATATTCTGTAAGGTTAGAATCAACTCTGGCCTAAATGGTCTAGTGGTTTATTGAAGTCAATACAGCTAAACTTGTGTATGTCATCTGAGCATACGGCATATCTGTTTATGACTTGTTGGGAAAGGGTTTAAGAAGTAATATAAGATTAACGAGGCTGGACTTAGATTAACAGTTCTCATGAAACACAAACACAATGCCGAAGTCCTAGCCATGGGTCAGATTGTCAGCAGATGTACATCTCCTTTGAAATGACTGGAGCAGCACTATTTTTACACGCTTCTGTCCTTGTTGTCCTGAGGCGGGCAAAGCCGTGACAAGTTCCCTTTTCCTTCAGCAACTCAAAGAGGAGTAAAATATAACAAGCCAGGTGAATGCATTTTATTTTTGGCTTCCTGTGCTTGCATAAGCTAAAAAGCCAAGGAAAGCACCGTCCATCTTCTATAACATCTGCTTCTGAGCGTGAGAAACTGGTCACGGAAGGCTGCCCCATATTTTTTCCTCGAGATTTGGTTCCTATTGAGAGTGCAATTGTGAGCCTGCTCCTCTCTGATTTCCCTAGAGACAAAATGTTTTTTAGGGTGCTTGAGTCCTTTCTACAAGTGTTTGAGTTCAGTGCAAAACAGACAACATACTAAGCCAGTGCTTACAATTTATGGAGTAGATTTATGTGTACAAACAAATGACAGTGTTCAGGCAAGCTGGGTCAGAATAAAAAAAGACTAAAGAAATGGACTAGCTCTGTCGCTTCAGTATCTCAGAGATTAGAGAGATCTGTCAGTGCTCTGAGTTATGGTACCTGATGTATAAATCAAATCTCAAATCAAACCCCTGGATTTGAATAGCCCTGGACTTTGGGGAAATTTGGGTGCATATCTGGATACATCTGTTAATCTAGGGACAGCCTGTCTGGTGGTATACGTTATGCAGCCCCTTTGGCTTCACTTAATCAACAGCAAATGTGGCCCATAGAGCCATCCTACAATGCAATTTGGCTAAAACTTTGCCAAATCGGGGTGCTGAAAACAAGAATAGTGCTGTAAGGAGAGACTGGTTTGTTTTTGTTTTCAGGGAGAAGCGTGCATTATGGGAGCCAAAAGGATCTACAGGAAACGCAAATCGGAGAAGAAGTGCATGCAGGGAAAATATGCTAGGGCCATGGCCTCGGAGCCATGTGTCTGCACGGAGGCAGACTTTGATTGGTGAGCAATGCCGATGGGATCCTCCTGAGAGATGTGCGTCTGCCTTTGCCAGCCCGATACTCCCTTGATCTGCATACAAAGGGTTAGGTGTGTAGCTAGATCACCCTCTGCTGGGGCAGGGAGAGAGCAACAGCTCAGGAAAGGAGCGACACGAGGAGATCTGCTAGAAGAGGCAGTGTTAGTCTCCCCTAAGAAATGGTCAAGATCGCCATTTGCAAAGGCTCCAACAGGCTGAACTGACACATCCACCCAAAGTCCAGCTCAGTGGTTTTCACACTTTTTGTCTTGCGACCCACTGAAATTGTTATGCCCCTGACCCTACATAAATATTTCTATTGACTAGCATGCCGGTTCCAGGGATGAGGGGGTTGAAGTGCAGGAGGGGGCTTTAGGTTTGAGGAACTCGGGGCTGGAGCAGCCTATTGGGATGGGGGGTTACCTCCCGGTGGCTCCCGATCAGTGCCACAGCTCAGGGGCTAAGGCAGGTTTCCTGCCTGACCGGGCACCGTGGACTGCACTGCACCCTGGAAGTGGCCAGCCACAGTTCTGGCTCCTAGGTGGAGGTGTGCAAGTGGCTGTGTGCACTGCTGTCACCCACAGGTACCACTCCTCAGCTTCCCCTGGCGGGTTCCCAGCCAATGGGAGTGTGGAGTTGGTGCTTGGGGCGGGGGCAACATACAGAGCCCCATGGCCCTCCTACCTCGGACGTGGACCTGCTCCTGGATGCTTCTAGGCAGGAGCGGCCCGAGGCCAGCTACCGCAGCTGGCGCCCCAGGCGGAAGGCGCGATCGGTGCCCCCACCTGCATGACCGTCAATGGCAGTGACGTAATCATCGGGCGCCCGGGCGCCCCATGACATCATCATTGGGCACCCTAGGCCGGCGGGGCCCCAGGCGACCGCCTCATCTGCCTAGGGCCTAGGCTCATGAGCCACTCCTGCTTCTAGGACAGCACATGGTCCATGGTGCCAGGAGAGGCAGGAAGCCCCTACTGGTCACCTGGTTACAAGGTGACCTACTGCCTAACATCCTGTGACCCAGTACTGAGTCTCCGTCTGTACTGGGTCTAGCTCATGTCCCTGTGTTAGCAGAACTGCACACTGCAGGGGCTGAATGGGCTAGCTGGCAACTTCCCAGCAGAGAGGCATTGTGGTTCTGTTATGCTGCACCTCTGGGAGCCCTTTGCATTGCCAGAGACCCTCCACTAGGATCTGTAATGGGTTGTGAATTCGACCCGGGAGCTGCAAGATGAGCCCTTAGAGGTTCCCAATTTGCAGCTTTGTCTGTGTTGCTCCAAGGATATAATGAGTTTTACTTGTTTTTGTCCTCACTCTTATAATGGTATTTTTATTGATTTTTTTTCGGTATAAAACAGACAGCCAGTAAAAGCTAAGCCAAACGTGCATAAAAACCACTGGTGCCATAAATTAACTGTGTAAGTGGTCATTCAAACCCAGACATGCTGCTTTAATGATCTCATTCCCAAAAAGCATTCTTCCCCAGGGAGATTTGTGTCAGGATGCTGAAAGGCAGGGCAGTGTGATGTAATGTAACAGAGAGGTGGAAGGCACCGGGTGTAAACACTAAGCCCTGGTCTATACGAGGACATTATTTTGAAATTAGGGATGTTAAAATGAGATTAATCAACTAATCGAATAGTCGATGGAATGTCCATTGACTATTCGATTAGCCGTGCGGCATTCTGCCTTTGAAATGTACAAGAGCCCCAGTGGGGACTTTTGTACATTTCAAAGGTGGAACACCACCTCTGCACTCCTGTCCCCTCCCACGGAGCTGGATCTGGCTGAACCAATTTTTAGCCAGCTCCCCTCAACACACCTTTCATTCCTTCCACTTTCTGCCTCTTACTGATGGCGGCAGAAAGAGGGGGAAATGACTAGTTGACTAGCGTGATGACAATCCGATCAACTTTTGCTTTTCGGATAGTCGACTAGTCGATTAGTCGCTTACAGCCCTATTCGAAATAACCTCCTTCAAGGTCAAATTTATAAGTGGAGCTTCCACCCCACCAAGCCCGTTATTTTGAAATAATGGGCCCCAGAATTCAAAATCCATACTCCTGCTTTTCATCAGGATTAACGCTACTTTTATATGGCTACAGGGTCCTGGCCTGTAAGATTTCAATGGGATTTGTGGGTGCTTATTAGCTCTGAAAACAAACCTGGAACTTCCAATGCAGTGACTACACCAAATCTAGCAGATGTCTCTTTCTCTTCTCAGGATGTTTCCTCCAGTGTTGTTTTTTTAAAATTTAAGTAAATGTTGAAGAAATATGATTTTTCCTTGAGCACATTTCCTCACATTACTCCTTGTTCTGCAATGCAGTGTTGTGCCTGGCACTCCAGATTGTCAGTTTAAAGGAAAGACAACAAATAAAACCCACTGATTTCATTTTAAGGAAATAAACAACAAAAAGGAGAAAACACCGGAGCCTTTTGAAAGGGATTTTCAGCAGAATGGACTCCTGGTGTCCATAATAAAATATAGCTTGTAAACCCAAAGGCTGTCTGACTTAAACCTTGGCTGTAATGGTCCCAATCCAGAGTAGCTGGAGAACTGGCTACATCCCATCATCCTCTTTCTCTTTCCTTTTTTGATTCATTCCCTTTCTGGAATTAGATTTTGATCCCTTTTGGTGTCCGCGCAGCTCACCATGTGGTCCTGGGGAAAATCCCAGCTCAAGAGCAATAACCAAAATAATCTAATTTGCTTTCTTTTTAATATAAAAAGCCATTTCATTTTGCCTTGATTTCCCAGAGCAGCCAGGGAAGCCAAGAAAGAAATGAGGAAATGATCAAAGCATGGTTTGAGTTGGAGGAATATGCACTCATAAAATGAATAAAGATTTTGTAAAGCTTCTCTCCGACGAAACTTAGAGAATTTGGGGGCCATTTACAGTTGGTATCGAAACCAGAACAGAGGACGACTGGTTGAGGGTAGGTTTGTTGTTTACCACTCAACAAGGCTGGCCCACCTTGGGAGTAACTTTTGGGCTGTTGTGAGCTCTCCTAACGGGGAACGTCACCTGTAATTAGCTAAGGAAGAAAACAATCAGGGAACAAAAACAAAGCTGTGGGTACTTGCATGGTCTGTGGCTCACAGCCAGAGGGCAATAGTGCATCAGAAACGCAGTAAGGCCTGCGCTCGGCTTCCATTCCCAAGGCAGATCTTTCCCCAGCAACTGCCTAGAAACCAGATTGCACTTATTCATTAGGGTAAATGGATTACGCGGCTACTCGCACATTATTAAAGCACTAAGTTACCACGTTTCCTGACATTTTACTCCATATAGCAGCACCTCTCCCATAGCAATACCTGTTGTCACCAAAGCAATCCTTGCTTAGGTCAGTAATTTGGTCAACTAACTTGGGACCAGTTTCTGTTCCCCTTCCTCCACTTCAGTAGTGCCTTATTCCATCACTATTCCCATTGGGCCTGATTCTCATTGACACTGAGGGGTTTAAGGTGTCTGGGATTACTTTTAGAGCATGTGTATTTCTGGTATTTTTGGAGTTTGCCTGGGGCCTTTAAGAAGGCTGTGGCTGCAGTGATAGAGTCTGAGGCTAGGTGCATCACATTTAGATGAACCAAAAAGTCCTGCTTTATTGGTAGCTATGAAACTAAGTGCTATAGATATTAAAAGGTATATGTATAGAAATTACTCTGAACACCTGTATAAATAGCTAGAAAATGTCTTCTTTTCTGTAGCATTTTTAAATCCTTAAGTAATGATTTATTAGCAGATATATTAGCTAAACACTCGGAGCCAGAGTTTGAAAGACATTATGAAGATAGGCACTTAGTGGGATATTCAAAAGGTGCCTAAAAACCTTTAAAGATCTGCCTCATGGATGCTACAGTGAGGATATGTCTAGACTACATCCCTCTGTCACCAGAGGGATGTAAATTAGACATACCGAAATTGCTAATGAAGTGGGGATTTAAATATTCCGCACTTCATTAGAATAAAAATGGCCACCGCTTTTTGCTGACACAGCAATTTGCCGACAAAAAGCGGCAGTCTAGATGGGGATTGGTTGACAACAAAAGCCTTTTCCAACCGATCCCTTATGCCTCGTGCCCCATCGGCAAAAAGCGGCGGCCATTTTTATTCTAATGAAGCGTGGGATATTTAAATCCCCACTTCATTAGCCATTTCGGTATGTCTAATTTATATCCCTCTGGCGACAGAGGGAGGTAGTCTAGACATACCCTGAGGGGTGGTAGTATAAAACCCTTAACATAGAATTTGGTCCCAATTCTAAAAGCCATTTTAAAAATTCTATTGAGAGGTTAACAATTTCTATTCAATTCTATGGGATTTTACCACAGGGGAGTTTAGCTAGGTGAGCCAGAGGGACATATGGAATTAAAGATGGCTGTATCCACAGGTACCTGGCCTCTGTGTCACTTAATGGATTTAAGGTTTAAAGGTCAAAAAGCTGGTGGCATTTTCAGTTTCTGATAGCACTGCCCTATATTGTTCAGGTGAGCTGGCTATAATTGAGGAGGTCCTAAAGTCTGGCATTAAAAAGTCTTCTGATTATGGATGAGGTGAGCAGAGTGATCCATGGACAGAGTTACTGCTGGAAGAGAGAGACCCGAGTTTGACATTTCCATCCTTTGCAGTGATGGATTTGATAATAGTTTCTTCCTACGTGGCATCTCCATTACTGGAGGTTTGCAACTATGGTATACCATTCTATCTGATCCTCCGTTAATCTTTGTAGATATATAGTTCTTTGGAGCTGCCCAGGATATCATAACAGTGAGCCAAGATTTTCTTTTTCTTCTTCTTGTTCTTCTGCCACCAACTTTTCCTTCCAATGCCCTTAAACATGCATCATCCACTGAACCTCTTCAAGTGTGCCAAATCGAATAAGACGATCTCAACTTTAGTAGTTTAACCATAATGTAAAACTTCCCCTTTGTATGTGTTGTATAGATATCTAAAGCAAGAGGGAGAGAAAATCACTGAAGCAGGGCTGGAACAGCTGTTGAGAGATTATCTAGTTCACCCTTCTATGCTGAGACAAGATAATGTAAACTATGAAATTTTTCTAATATAACACACAATAAATCTGTGGAACTCCTTGTCAGAGGATGTTTTGAAGGCCAGGACTTTAAAAAGGTTCAAAAAAAGGACTAGATATTTTCATGGAGGACACGTCCATCGATGACTATTAGCCAGGATGGGCAAGAATGGTGTCCCTAGCATCTGATTGTCTTTGGACATAAACTGATAAAATATAATTGCAGGGATCTACAATGCTACTTCTACTGACACTGCCAATTAGGTGAGATTTGAGTTAAGGCTGTGGATTTGAGCACTGTAAAAACAATGTAATTGAGAGCAGAATCAGATCTCTAAGCTTTACAATATCATCCTTTTTTATATCGCCTGCACTGTCATTGATGGGCACTTCTGTTTTCTCTCTTATGCTGTTCTGAGTCTGGCACAAAATCTAGCTAGTCTGAACCTCAGATGTCAGGCAATGCAACCAGCCCGTCTTGGATGCATTCAGATCTCAGTACTCGATCATGCTATGGTGATTCATGCTACCGCTTATCAATTGCAACAAAGCCTGGTGTGTTAAACCATAGGCAGCAATTTGTTGTCATCCTTAGTGCTCTGTGGTCACCTGACAGTAGCCAAGACATTCATTAGTTTCCAGGTCTGCAGAGGTGAAAGAGGTGCTGGTGTATCCCTAGAGAGATATGGAAGAGCAGTTTATGTAATTTACTAGTATGATATTTCTGTATATCCATATCATGCCAGCGCAGACTTGCAACGTTAAAAAGGTCACAGTCAAACTTCTACCTTCGGAAAACTACGTCTGCTCCAGATCGTATAATGTCCATGACTTTGAGGCATATGATCCAAACACAGTCAAAGCTAGTTAATTCAGGTTTGGTCAGTCCAGATGCCTGAATACAATACCCAAATGATTTCAGCTGTAATCAACTGTAGCATGTGTGTGTGAGAGTAATAAGAAATTACAGACCAATATTGTTGGATTAAATTAGACTTCGGATGCCTAGCCCCTGTGGACAGATTCGCCATTAGGTGAAAAACAAAACTGACTATGGGGATGCTTTATGTACACTGTTACAGCTTTTTAATTATATTGACTCATGATAACTCAGGAATATGGCTTTTCAACATGGTGACAATTGAATTAAAAATGACCGAGGTCTTGTTTGTACATAAATATTTGTTCTCTCTAGGCAAATGAAAACGGTTTTACTTCTCTTTCTAGACTGTTTCCACAGCCCTGGTGTCCTACTTCCAATAAGAATGATCATAGGTCTACACAGCAGACTGCAAAGCCTGTCTTGAACTTTCAAGCAATGGCCGGTCACTGGTGTGTTAAGAACTAGGATTATTAAAATTGAATAATAAAAACTATGGCTGAAGAAGATCTTTTAATTCATCCAGTCCATTGCTTTGAAATTGCAGGACTCTTTCCTACAGTATATCCTCAATCCCTTTGTAAATCCAGTTTTAAATATACCAAGCAATAGGGCTTCCGAGTCATCCTCCAGAACACTACTCCATAGTCCAATCGACCTCACTTGAATGCTGTTTTTGATGGTCAGCCTACATTTCCCCAGCACCAATTTAATTCCTTTACTCTCAGTCGTAGGTGGGAAAAGGGGAAGAGATGACGTCAGGAACAGAGCTGGTTGACATATTTCAGGCTTTCCAATTTTGATGGCAAATCTTACTGGAATTCCAACGAACATGTTGTAAACTGTTCATGACATTTTCCTTTGCGATGTTACTTAATGTTCAAAATGTTAATTAAACTCAAACTTTGGAAAGCAAGGACAGGGTATCACGATTTTTACTCTTATCCAGCCATCTCTTCTTTGGAATTAAAAACAGTGCTATTGTTTTACTGGAGCAGCATCGCTGGTCCAGTTACAGCAAGATCTCCTGGGCTCTCTTTATATAGAATCCAGGCAGCTTGGCTCCTTCCATATTCTGTGTCTTCTGTCCTGGCTCCTTTCCTTCACGGTGTTAACTGCCCTTCAAGCCTCCTCTGAGCAGTTTCTCCTCCATGAGGTGGTGGTTGTCTATTATAGCACTGGTTCTCAAAGTGTGGTCCGTGACCATCTTGCAGGTGGGCCACAGGCTTGGACTTCGATCCCTCCTGCCCCACAGCCAGGAGCCAGTGCTGGCACTCTACTCCCATGCCAGCATCCCACTGTGGGGGGTGAAACTCAAGCCCCACAGGCTTGTGAGGTAAAGAAGCAGCTCTGAGCGCTGCTGCTCCCCTGCCCCCGGCTGGAGGAATGGCAGTGCCAGAAAATTCTCTCCTGGAGGCTTTCCCACTGCTCCCATTGGCTAGAATCATGGCCAATGGGAGCAGCAGGGGGGTTGAGGGGCATGGAGCCAAGTAAGTGCCCTCATCCTCCTCATGCCCAGACCCTGTACCCCCCATACACCTCACACAGACCCCTGTCACTCAGACTCTGCACCCTCAGCTCACTCTTGCACCCAACCTCCCAGCCAGACTCCACACTCACACCCCCTCCTACACCCATTTTGTCATCATGAGTGGTTGGCTGGTGGTCTGCGGAAAGGTCTGTGTTGAGCGAGATGGGCTGTGGGACAAAAAGTTTGAGAACCACTGTATTAAGGAGAGTGGCATTTTAGAACATGAGATTCCTCCCTCTCCCCCACACACAAAGGCAACCGGGATCATTGTGTCATTAGTATTCCCCATTGTGAGGCCAAGATGCAGTTGGATGAACATGGCACCTAAACCAGACAGTGTACAGAACCAGCAGCTCAACAGAGAGAGAAAAAGAGAGAGAAAGATGTTGATAACTTCTCCTTTTCCAAACTAATGCAGAAATGAAAAGGGGGGGGGGGGGAACCTAGCTTTTTCTATTCCGTGCTAAATCCTGCACAGGAGTTTGTCCCTCTAGAAAGATTTCTCAGAGGGTACGTCTAGACTGCATCCCTCTGGCGACAGAGGGATGCAAATAAAGCACATTGACATTGTTAATAAAGCCGGAATTTAAATATCCCATGCTTCATTAGCATAAACAAGGCTGCTGCTTTTTTTCAAAATGGAGTTTTTTCTAAAAAAAACCCAGCATTCTAGACTCCAATCTCTTGAAAATAAACCCTTTTTCGACAGATCCTGTATTCCTCAAAAAATGAGGTTTACAGGATCTGTCGAAAAAGACTTTATTTTCGACAGATGCGCATCTAGACTACCGTTTTTTTCGAAAAAACTCTGTTTCGAAAAAAAAGTGGCGGCCATGTTTATGCTAATGCAGCGCGGGATATTTAAATCCTGGCTTCATTAGCCATTTCAATGTTCCTAATCTACATCTTTCTGTCAACAGTAAGGTGTAGTCTAGACACACCCAGTAACATTTGCTTTAGGCCGCATGTGATATTATGTCCAAATACTGTCTGTTTGAATTAAGCTGTTCAGTTTCTAAAGCATCCCGGAGTCAGCAGCAGGTTTCAATGGCTGTGAATTCTGGGATTTGCTACCTTTGCTCCTGGATCTGTCTGAACCTCAGGAGCAGTGCTAGACCTAGTAACCAATCTAGGCCTGACAATTTACAAGCTCTGATTTCATAAAGCATCAGGGCTAGAAACAAAAGGGCTTGTTCTGCTCTTGCTTACAATGACCTACACCTAGGTTAACTCCACCGAGGTCGAAAGCAAAAGCAGAATCAGGCCCTGAGGCTGTCTGTATTATATCATTTGATAGCTGGAAATGCAGCAAAGGGACCCAGGGCAATGCCATCCCTGTGGGTGAGGATGAGCTAATGTCTGATTTCCTTGTCAATTTTTTTTCTTTTTACGATAAAATAGCGATTATGGATACGAGCGTCACAGCAATGGCCGGTGTCTGCCAGCATTTTGGTATAACCCGTCGTCCTTGTCGAAAGACTGTAGCTTTGGACAGAGTTATCTCAACAGCACTGGGTAAGTGGATTTACAGAAGATGATTTTGCAAATCACACCCTGCAGCCCTCTGCCTCATGGCATCTTTAGGCTGTCATCCTAGCGTTATTTCGAGCTGATTTTTCCTCAAAGACAGGATCTAGTTTGAAAGTGATTAAGTCAACGGGAGTTTTTTTTCATTGACTTCTTCAACGGGCATTGAATCAGACCCAGGACTCTCTAATTTGTGTTTGGTTTTAGTATTTAAACCTGATCCAGAAAATTGATGCTACAAGGACATTGTAAGAGAACAGGACAAATGTGATCTATGGGCTTATCATTTGAAGTCAGTACAAAGACCACTGGTGACTTCAGTGGACTTTGGAGAATGCCCTAAGTCATGAAGAAAATCCAACGGACTGAACCTGAGAATGGCATGGATGCTGGAGAAAGGGAATAAGAATCGGGCCCCTCTGCATTCCCATTGAAATTATTGGGATGTGTAGGTGTCAAATTCTAATTCCATTTGTTAAGTACAAGGTGCATAAACATTTGAAAGGACTTATAACTATAAACAGTCTCACAAGCTGCAGAAATGGGTCCAAGGATCTGGCCCATTTCCTCCGGCACCAATAAACATAATGCACAAAAAATACAATCTGTCTGACCGCAGCAATGCCCTCCGCCTGGAATGTGGCGGCAAGAGCAAAAGTCCACTGAAAAGCAAAAAATGAAATGGAAGCAAGTTGGGGTTAGCAACGATTTCTCACAAGCACAAGGACCAAGTTTTCTCAAGGGGTTTCCAGTGTATTAGATAAGTACAATTGTGCTGCACTCAGCAGATTAGTATATAGCTTATCAATGGATCTAATTATTCTGAACATACTTCACCGCAGAGATTCAAGGCTTCATTAATATGTTTGAAAAACCCTGGGATCTTTATGTGAAAGGTGGAAAAAAAGTGCAACACTGGATTATTGCAAACTGGCTCCTGCCCCACTGAGCAGAAAGATCTGCCGTGCACGATAGCAGTGGTTGAATAGTGTCCAGAAAAACAATGTAACTATTTAAGGGAAAACTATATAACTATTTAGGGCAATAAGCAGCTCATGGGCGGGATGCAGTTTGCCAGGGTTCATCCCTGGTGGGCTGCCAGATGCTTTATTTACCTAAGTGTCCACAGGTACAGCCGCTCGCAACTCCCATTGGCTGTAGTTCGCTTCCCTGGCCAATGGGCTCCATGGGAAGTGACGTAGGCCAGGCCACCACATCCCATTAGCCAGAAACAGTGAACCACGGCCATTGAGAGCTGCAAAACAGCCGTACCTGTGGTCAAGCAGGTAAAAAAGCATCTGGTGGCCTGTCAGGGGCTAATCCTTATTGCCCAGCTCTGGTTTAGGGGATTGATGAAGGAAAATATTGATTTGAGAAAGCAACATTATTCGCTCCTTGTGTACCGCAGACGTGGAAAGCGTCTCCTCCTTACACAGAGATCTCTCTTTGCAGGTACCGAAAAGTTGTGTCTAACAACTGCACAGATGGTGTAAGAGAACAGTATACAGCTAAACCCCAGCGGTGTCCTGGAAAGGCCCCCCGCGGACTGCGAATCATCACCTCGGATGGGAAACTGACCGCAGAACAAGGGCACAACGTTACTCTCATGGTGCAGCTGGAGGAGGTACAACCTATTTAATAGGCCCCGTTGGGCACACTCTAGTCTGAATTGTGCAAGAGGAAGCTTGCGAAGCAAGTTAGAGCCGAGTAGCGGATTAAATCCACTTAACGATGCATCTCAGTCTGAACGTGCATGTAAAGCAATAGGACAGAAAAGGATGACGTGACACAAAGATTGCTTCCATGCGTCAACCGCTGTTCAGATCCAAAACCTCACATCCAAATCACTTCACATTCCAAAGGCGGTGAAGACAAGATTCCTGGTGCCAGCCTTCCCTCTTCGGTTTGGATTCCCAACATGAATCTGAACGTGAAAGATGGACAGATGATTGGTTCCATTTAGACATTGCTGCAGTTCAGACCAGGACGGTGGAAATCTCACACACAGCTCTGATTTCCCTCCTTTGGAATGGCTGAAGGCTCCCACCATGTCAGAGTTTAGGACTAAAATCTCCTAAGAAAAGATTTTAAGAGTCCGGTGGTGAATATGAACCTCTAGCCCTGATTCAACTTCCACCAGAGCAAGCGTAGTCTCAAAATCAACACACACAACAGCTCCTTCTGTTCAGTTGTAACTCAGATTCTAGATCTTGAAGTTTACAAAGTGGCCTAACAGTACAACAAAGAACTAGGAATCCGGGCTCTTGGATTCTAACGTTGGCTCTGACACTGAATTACTTAGTGTGCATCTGCACTGCACCGTTATTTCGAGATAACTAGCGTTATTTCAAAATAACAATGAGAGTGTTTACACAGCCATTCCGTTGTTTTGAAATAATTTCGAAATAACGGATGGCTTATTCCAAAATCTGTAACCCTCATTCTACGAGGAATAACACCTATTCCGAAATAGCTATTTTGAAATAAGGCGTGTGTAGATGCTCCACTTCTGCTATTTTGAAATAGCCCCTCACCAGGGCCATTCTAAGTTATTCCTCCCCAGTGCCTGTGGGGGCTCTAAATTGAGATAGCACGTCTACATTAGGGGAGCCTGCTTCCGACTAATTTTGAGGCTTCCCTGCAGTGTATACGTGCTATTTCAAAATAAGCATGCAGTGTAGACGGACCCTTTGTGATTTCTGGAGAATATTGCTTACCTAGCTGTAAAGTGGCTCTAATAACATTGAGCATACAGCGATCCAAGGCTTAGTTGTTTTTGAAAATCTCACATTTTTGGATAAAAGGTGGTTAAAAAAAAAGTATATCCTCAACACATCTCTGATTTCCTAGTATGTTTCTTCCCAGCTTGGTTCCTCTTGTATCTAAAACTAGTTAAGCTGTTGGAGAGAATTCATGAAATCTCTCTTCCTGTTTTCTCTGCTCCTAAGTAAGATTTCCTGCTGTCCAGATTGTGTTTTCCTCTCCCTTCCTTGTCTCATTTGGTTTCCTTTGTGGTTTGGCAAGTAAGTCCTAAACACAGATGCATGTTTGCACAAAACCACCAAATACATGCTGTGTTACAGGGACTAACTCAGATCTCCATGTTGGTGGTTTCTGATTCTTTGTATAGTGATATCCTAGCAGATATAATGAGGAAAATCTGATACTGTTGGTGTCTGTGGCTAAAAGTTGCAAATGCAGACTAGACTTCGTTGGCTGCGTGTGTGTTTTCTCTGCATGCTATGTTGGCTCTGGCCAGACAGGGCATGCAGCAGGCTCTGATCAAACTGTTCAATAAACCCACAGACTCAGTTTTCAGGGAATGCACTTGGTCCAGTTAATTCTTACTGGTTATCACCCTCTGGGAAGGGAACAGGAATGGCTAGCTTCTCTCTTCCATTGGTTGCATTGCTCCATGATACACCAGTAGCTGACAAGGATCCAGTTGTTTCTTATGGATGCTGTCTTCCAGTTAACCTACTGAATGGACAGTAACCAATTTATTAAATATTGCTGTGCCAGGATTTAGTATTGGTATTCAGACACTAAACAAACTTAGAATCATAGAATCATAGAACCATAGAGCTGGAAGAGATCTCAGAAGGTCATCAAATCCAGCCCCCTGCTTTAAGCACAACTTGTTTGGATAACATGACCCTCATGTTGAATGTGCTGTCGCTGCCCTAAAAAATGTGACTCCCTACCAGGGAATTGTTTTACCCAAATTATCATTCCTATGTAACTTATTTTTTTTTAACCAATTTGTTTTTTCTTGCTTTCATGTTGTTTGCTGCCATACTTTTGTTGATTTGTTCCTGAGTCTTGGTGAAACAGTTAAGCAAAGTTATGCACACTGTAAAAGTACAGCAATAATACAACGCTATAGTAGTAAAACAACAAACAACAGAGCAATAATAGAGTTGCTTTTACACAGTAGCCGGATTCAAATTAAATGACAGTTTAACCTGGTCCAGCCCATGGTTTCTAGCTGATTGACAGCTTAATTGCCTGTAGAGCCCTACACGGATAAAAAATGTTGTATCTGCATCCACATTCACATCTGCAAAAATGAGCAATGAATATCCACATCCATATCCACAGATGTGGATACATGTGGATATAACATTGATATCCATGGATTTGCTGGGCTCTGTGTTTAGGGAAGACTGAGGTGTAGCTGACTAATATTTTATTTATAAACACTTTTATTTTCTTGATGCTTGGGGGCTTCTTCACTGTATAATGATATCTTCTGGGGTCTTTCTCGGTATACAGTGAACCCTCGTTTATCGCGGTAGATAGGTTCCAAACCCGACCGCGATAGCTGAAAATCCGCGAAGTAGGGACACCATATTTACGTATTTGGGGTCTTCATATATCGCGGCTATTTTCGAAATTTCCGGAAAATCCGCGATATATTTCTTTTATAATATATACATACGTAATGAAAAAAGTCCGCGAAGTCGTGAATCCGCGATGGTCGAACCGCGAAGTAGCGAGGGCTCACTGTAGTATCTTTAAGTGCCTTTGGTCATAGGGATGCTACCTTAAACAGCTAGTTAGCTACATAATGAAGGTTTTCTAAAAAAATTGTTTATCTTTCTTCTTGTTTTCTCTAACCCCCATTTAATACACTTTTTAACTTAGTGTGGTTGCAGTGTAATAGGTCTTTTATAGCACAAACTATAATTTGCAATTGTTATTTAGATAGTAATGCACCTCACGTGAAAATGACTAATATTTTATACTAAATGTAATACTTAACTCCTAAAATAGATGCTCACAATCTTCTATGAGAAGGTGAATTACTTTACTCTGCTGAGCACTCTGGGGTTATGTTTTAGTAACATAATTTTTAACAAGCTTTTTAGAAGTAATTTGCTTGTGATACAAATTTCATTTTTTAGAAACACAAACTTTAGCACCCACCACTTCCCTGTAGCATAGTATAAAATAGAAATTAAACCAAAACAAATCATAAATACAGATCTATGCAAATATTTCAAGGTTATTAAATTTTCATTATAATTGGTTGTGTTGAGATAAAGGTGGGAACCTGTTGAAAAGGTCGAAATGTATTTCAATTGTTTGGTTAGCTTTGTTATTTTTTTAAAATTTTGCTATGATATTTGATAGCTATATTTAAAAGTGCAAACAAGTTTATGAAAACCCAAACAAGAAATTGACATTCTGTTCCTATTACCTTTACCTTAATATTGAAGATTCCGCTTACAGTTTTTCTTTGAATAAAAAAAAATGTGGTTAATAAAAGAGAATAATGGGTACACCCCAACAATAATATTAATATATTGTGGAAACACTAATATGACAAAAAATAAAATTGACTTCTGTTATAACAAAACAAAAAATATCACGATACACCCACCATATAATATAGAATTTACAGGACAAGTTTATAATTAAAAACAAATGGCACAAGAATTCTGTTTAGAACTCTACAAGATAAAAGCATAGTTATTACAAAAAATACACTTAAAAATATGATCAAACAAAAGTTCTAAACATTTAAATAAGCAAGTAATTACCTTGTTATTCAAAAATGTAATAAAATTGATAAAAATTCATATGAAATTATTTACCAAATGTGTAGTATTAATTTTGAAACGTAAGGCATTTTCCATTATTTTATATGAACTTTATTTTAAAACTCTGTTATATGGAAATAAGGAAACCCATGTTTAAAATATTTAGTCAGTTGTTGCAATTAGAAGCAGACTCTCCATTTCTGTTGCTAGGCAACCATATTTTCAAAAAAGTGAGGAGTAATTTCAACTATTGCATTCCTGAAAGTTTAAAATAATTAAGTTACTAAATTTATTTAAAGTAAAATTTTTACCTGGTTTTCTTCTTTATTTGTTGTTTGGTTCTATTTTCAATTGCCTCCTGAAGCTTTACAATAACCTTTTGTTCCTAGAGCGCACACACACACACTGATATGCAAGGGAAGCAGAATGTAACAAATCTGATGTGCTTTGTTGCATCTATATGTTCATTCTAAAAAACCAAAAAACACACACACAAAAATCAAAGTTTTGACGAAACAAACTCACTTCCCTCCCTTTCTCCCCATTTTGCCACAGTTAAAGGGGAAAAAGAAGACACAATAGATGAAAATATTATCTGGAAAAAACAAAACAGAAAAAAATGCAGTTTTATTCACTAATATATAGGACATTTAAACAAAACAACCTCTTTAAAAAATCCAGACATATTTGGTGAAAAAAAAAATTGTGTGGAAAATTTCAACCAGTGCTAGCTACCACTTATTCTTTCTCCAAAAATGCTAGACACACAAGCTGTACAAGTTGTAATCATCTGGTGGCTGAAGCGGTACGAAAAAACTGGCTATCAGCCTGGCCAGCTATAGCTCTATTGGGTTCCCGTGAGGCAGAAAAAAAGAAACAATGAAATGTTTCTCCTGCGTGGGAAATTGACATTTTGTCAATATTAATTTTACCTTAATGTTGAAGTTTCCCCTTGATTTCTTACTTTGAATAAAAAAATAAAAATCTATAATGAATAAAAGAGAATTCTTTTTGTTTGCAATTGCATTAGCTATTGAAATCCCTGTCACCTGCAAACTTATTTTTAGTTGCTCACCACT